CATTACACGTTGTTTGCACCTAGTATATATATATAAACACACACATATATTGTGAAGAGAAATAAATTAATTGTTCTTTATTCTGTCATTATACATACCAACCTTATTTGCTGAATGTGACGATAGGGTTTTCTACCTTTCATTTGTGGCACCCAGATGCCCAATCTATGAAGTTGTACGCGCGTCATTCTTAACTCGTGAAAAAGGTTAATTTGATTGTTAAAATGTCAAAATTTTATGTAAAAGTACGTTTATACCCACTTAAATTAAATAAGCAAACAAACAAAAAAAAGGAGGAAATGTATAATTTTAGCCTTTAAAGGCTAAGGTTGTCATAGTCCTATCAAATAAAATTTGGCTTTTCAACAATCTAATTGATGCATGAACAATAACTTTCATAGGTTGGGGACGAGGTGGTCATAGTGAGCAAAGATTGAAGATCTGTCTTAAAAGTAAGACTTATTTTGTATGAGGAAGTTGTTGGGATGAAGTGAAACAAATGTAAACCAAACCGCCACAGTTTCGGAGTCCTAATCCCAACCGTTTACATAACCTCCTCTCGCATTTTGTAGGAAATTCTGTTACCAATTCCATCAGTTACACAATTAATAATATATCATGGTAGTTACATTATACACCAAACCAAAACTGACTAACCAACAATATCAAAGTTGTTTCCCCCACACGGTTCGTACACACACCCACACACACACATATCTATATATATATAGAGAGAGAGAGAGATGAATATATGGTTTAGAGTGAGAGAAATGGAAGGTGGTGGTGGTGGAGGAGAAAAAACAAAAGGGTCATGGAGTCCTCAAGAAGATGCTACGCTAGTAAAGCTAGTACACAAACATGGGCCACGTAACTGGTCTTTGATAAGCCTAGGGATTCCGGGGCGGTCTGGAAAGTCGTGCCGACTGCGGTGGTGCAACCAGTTGAGCCCGGAGGTGCAACACCGTCCATTTACGCCATCGGAAGATGCTACCATCTTGCGGGCGCATGCTATGCATGGTAATAGATGGGCCACTATTGCACGCCTCTTGCCCGGGAGGACCGATAATGCTATCAAGAATCATTGGAATTCCACGCTTAGAAGAAAGCGTAATAACAACAATGATGACAAACCGAGTTGGGATGAGTCGGGAACCGTGTCGACCGAGCGGGAATCGGGATGTAAGAGAAGGCAGTGTTCACACGTGTCGCAGGAGCAGAGTGGTTATGGTGGGACTGAAGAGACTTCGATTACGTTGACGTTATTGCCCCCAGGGGAGGGAACGAGAGACTCAGTCGCGGAAGAGAAAGTGGAGATGATAAAGGAGGAGGTGGAGGGGAAATCGACGGTGGATATGGAAGAGACTTGTTTGGTGACGATAATGCAGAGGATGATAGCACATGAAGTTCGTAGTTACATTGACAAATTACGAGGCCAGGGTGGGCTTGGGCTTGGGCTTGGAAGCCCAGAAAGGTCTGTAAATTGATTTTGTTTGTTAATTACTAAGAATGCTTTCTTTTCTTTTCTTTTTAGAAATTGTTATTTTGCCATCGCGAGTCAGATTTTAAACCATGAATATATACTGATCTAATCGAGTCTAGTAATAAAAAAAGGATCTTCATTAAAATTTATTTTAATTTTATTCTATATAGAGTGTTTATTCTCAAAATAGGGATGTAACAAAAGTAAGCCAGACATCTTTTCTTGAAACGACATTTAGATTAACAATGACTTACGAGTGAATGACGTTAACCTATCACAAACCCAAAATGTGAAATATTGAACAACTTAATGCAATGTCTTCTACGCTTACCTATCGCATGGTGAGGGAATCACTGTCATGTAAACAAAAACCTTTTAATCAAAGGTGTCTAAAGAAGAAAAAAGACAATCATCGATGCTCCTCTAACATTAATTTAGTAGCTCGAGCTTTCCATCTCAAGAATCAAGCAATAATGGTCATTTAAACAGTTCAGTAGCACGGGACGAAACTCATGAACATATTAAGGAAGGCCGGCGATTCGTAAATAAAAGTTGTACCTTAGTGCCTCTTTCCTTTGTAATCGAGTATTGACCATTAGAGTCCATGCATTTAATTCTTCACATGTAGAAATAATTTTAATGTTGCAATCTAGCATTTCAGATGTTGAAACGTACTGAGTTATCTGATTTCCAGCTTTAAACTGAAAATGTTTTGTGATGTTTTTAAATCCGATAAACATCTCTTCCTTTCTATAGGCACCAAAATTATTCACCAAATACACAACTTGTTAAGATTTGAAGTTCTATCTTAAAATGTCAATCTTATTAAGTGGAGTAACTCAAATCTTTATAAACAGATCCATATTTTCATCTTTATTAGATGTATGATTTTATCCCTTAACATTAAAGATGAAAACAAGGACCAATTTATAAGGATTTGGATTATACCTCTTAATAATTTTGACATTTTAAGATGGAAATCCAAGTCTCAACATGATATTAGAGTCCATTAAACTCCAACGAATGATTTGATCTGATTAAGACTCAAAAAATGAACACGCGAATTTCAATATTAGTTTGCTCAAATGAGTCACCATCTTGCGGGACATGTTAAACGATAGAATCTCATATTGAATAAAGATGAAAATACAGACCAATTTATAAGGATTTGGACTACTTCGTTAAACTTTTAAGATGGAACCTCAAGTCTTATCACAACTTTTAAGCTTTTCATTAGCAAATTGGTAAGGGCTTAGATAAAAAATTTGGTCTAGGGTGGGTTATTAGTTTTAAATTTAGAATATCTTCCAAGTGCTAAGTGACTTTTGGAAGAACAACTTTTGTTCGGGAGAAGAAAATGTCCGATTCTACACTGATCAATCGAAAATATGAAGGGAGTCTTTATTTTTGTTTTAATTATGCGTTTGTCTTTAATATGTATATTTCATCTAGTGGATTTTTAAATAGTTGTGCATGTCTCGTACGTGGACGTACACTCACCAAACCACATCAACAATTCTTGTATTGTTATTTACAATTTCCGGGCAAATTATTTAAGTCGAACGGATCTAACATATGTTACACCTCGACTGAAAATTTTAATTTTCCGTAGATCTTCGTCTTCCATTTTAAAATGTTAATTTCGTTAAAAGAGTTTACCCAAATCTTTATTAGATAACATGGAATTTTAACTTACAAGAACTATATCTACGATATATATGCATAATGGGGGTAGTAAGTGGAACAGAGATACCTTAACATTTCTGCCATTAATTCAAGAAAATGAAAATCATAAACGGACGAGAGAGAGAGAGAGAGATTATGGAAATGGATATTGGCTAAACTGATCAAATGACAAGCAATCCTGGCCGTTGAAGGCCTCTACCATGTCAATCCCAGGGCAGTACATATTGGCTCCATCATCCGAAAACAAAACAGACTGATCAACATAATAGGCAAGACGAGCTCTAGCAAGAATCAGATCATGTTGAAGCTCTACCATCTTCTTCTGCAGCGAAGCTATCGCCCCGATGCAACCGTAAACGGGGTCCCTAAGGCGCATGTCCGCTTCGTAAACGAGCGTATTCACGGCTTCTTCCCGTTGCTCCTCCGGCACCTCGTTTAGGATCTTGCTCACTTTACTTGCTCCAAACACCTTGTGTACCTTTGCGAATTTATTCTGCTCGTCGGACCGGAAATAGGGTGCAAATTGACAAGTAGGAGTGCACCTTCGCTTCAACAACTTGCAGGCTGCACAGGAAGAGCCTGAACGGGGCTCCTGATGACTCTTCATGCCTCTTCTTAATCTGCATCCACTTCAATTCATGCTATTTGACACTTTATATATGGGTATTATGCATCGTGCTACCACTGTCTTATAAAGATAGGTTTGTTTCTATTTTTACACACAGATTAAAAAAATATAATTAATATAGTTAAAAATATAAAATTTTCTTACCTTTTTCCTTATATACTCCTACATTAAATAATTAATTAAATATGATTAATTTATATTTGTTGATAACAAGGTACATCAAATATGGATATATTAAAAAATTAAAAAATATCTATACTTTTAATAAGGAAAGTAATCTATAATTTAGGAAAGACGAAAAAAGAAATCAAACATATTTTTATGGGAAGAGGCGGTATATACTTTAATTGCAGCTAAATTAGAGTTTGAAAGAAACATGGTTGGCCACAAATTTTATTTTATTGACTTTTCTATTGTTTGCGAGTAATGTTGACAAATAAATGTTTGTTTAGGCCTAAAAAAAATAAGCAAATTGACTTTTTAAAGAAATATTGGAGATAATGCTTTTAATGTTGCAAATATTAAACTAAAGTTAAAATAAAGAAAGTAACTTGCGAAGAAAACTGACAAAGTTCTTATGAAAGTGCTACACACATATATTGCTAGATCTTAAAGTTACTTTTAAGCAAATTTAGCCAATATTTGGAAAACATTTTAGTAACTTAAAAATTACTTCTACTACTCAGTCAGGTCAAATTTTAAATTTAACCACACATTTAAGATTACTACTCTTTGTTATACACACATTTCATGGTCCCACTATCATCTATGACAGTTTAAAAATTTTTTGTTCATAAATCAGGTAATAATTCAAATTTTAAATATTATAAAAAATAAATTATTTTATATATCCACCTTGTTAAGAATTTGAGTTCAATCTTAAAATGTCAACATTGTTAAGCGGAGTAACCCAAAATCTAGGGATGGCAACGGGACGGGTCGGCCAATCCCACCCTCGTCCCGTCGGGTATTTTATTACATTACCCCATACTCGGTTAAAGCGGGACGAGGATAGATCGGTGCGGGGCGGGGCGGGGCAAGTCTCTCGCCCCATTTATCACCCCATTTATTTTTTCTTTTTTTTTTTATTTTTGCTTTTATTTTTTTTATNATTATTTTTGTTCGATAAAAAACTTAAATTTAAAATTAATTGTAAATGGGGCGGGTCGCGGGACGAGGACTATATTTCCCTTACCATTCCCATACCCGCTTCGGGGTAATAACCATCGCCCCATCCCCGTCCCGTGTACCTGGTTAGGCGGGTAATCCCCGTCCCATTCGGGGCGGGGCCCCACGGGTATCGAGTTGAGCGGGTTTTATTACCATCCCTACCAAAATCTTTATTAATTGGTTTGTGTCACATCATTTATCGATATGGAATATATATCCTTTAATACGCCCCCGCAAGATGGTGGCTCATTTGAGCAGACCAATCTTGAAATTTACGTGCTCACTTTTGGAGTTTTAACGGGATCAAATCGCTCGTTGGAGNGGAGCATAATGAGCTCTGATACTATGTTGAGAATTGGGGTTCCATCTTAAAAGGTCAACCTTGTTAAGCGGAGTAGCCCAAAATCTTTATTAATTGGTCTGTATCAACATCATTTATCGATGTGGGATATATATCATTTAACACACCTCGCCATCATCTACCCTAGCCAAAGTCACTCACAAACCATAATTATTTTCCTATCTTCTTTATCTTTCTATATCCTCTCTATTCTCTCTTTCCCATCCCCTCTACCGGCACGGCTATTCACACTATCTATTTCTCTTCACTGCAGCGGCGCCTCTACAATTCGTCGTTCACATTTCGACGCCGTCGTAGAGCAACGCCTCTGCGAAAAGTGGCATCACTGCAGCAACGACGAAGATGAAGCTGCGCGCAGCATAAAAGGCGCTCCAATAGCAACGTCTTCACCAAGGGCGGACGCAGAAGTTAAAAGTTAGGGGCACAATCGAACTTGCAAAGAAATTGAGAGAAATTTTACAATAAAAAAATTATGTCTAAAAAATCATACCCTATGTAATTTTGCATCCGAAAATTTACATGTGATGTGACTTTTTCAAATATAAAATTTCAAAAAAAATTTATGTCATATTTAATTTAAAATTTCCTAATAAAAGGATGAAAATGACATTAAGAAATTTGTATTGCAAAAATAATAAATGTTAATGAAATAATTGATTTTTTTTAAAGAAAATGCGAGTTAAACGTCTTTCTTTAAAATTCACGTTTAACGCATTTTTAACTATTTTCGATATCTGTGTGGATTATTTGATATGCCTATAATGTAGTTCTCAAAATAAAGCTTTGAGATGACATAAACAATTTGTAGATTCGATTAGTCTACGATCGTCGAAAATTTTTTAAAGTTAGCATATTATCGAAATTTTCGAAATACTAATTTTGAACGGCTTACTTTGATAAGTCGTAACATTTGCTACGATTGATCGTTTCGTATGCCATTAACGATGTAGAAAACTAGACCGTGAATACTTTGAAAATGGTATTAAAAGTGTAATATCTCACCCTTGTTTGATGAAGAGTAGTTAAGATTTTATTAAAATGTGAGAGAAAAAGAGAAAAAATAAAATTTATTGTAATTTTGCCCCTATTTGATGGAGATTAAAATCAATTTTTTAGTAAATTTTGATAAAAGTTAAATAGTTATAGATTTCATTAAATATGTTATTAAAATTAATTGTTAACTTTGATTTAGATTAAAATTTATATTTCAATCGATACCAAACATGATTATATATATATAAAACTCAAAAGTTGGGAGGGCACGTGCCTCCCGTGTCCGCCCCTGGTCTTCACTGAGGTTGTAGCGGCTCCGCTACTAACGAATGACGGAAGTTTGGGAACAGTGCCGCAACAGCAACAAATAACGGAGTTTGGGAGAACAATCTGTTGCAGCATGAGCAACAATGTCGTCGGAGTTGAGTTACGATCTAGTGCTAAATGAAAGAGAATTTGGGAAATGATCTACTGCCGTAACAAATGACGGAAAATCTAGGGAAAATTGGGTCAAGATCTGGTGCCGGAGTTTTCAGGGTAGGATTTGTTGGTTACGTTTACAGTTGGTGGTGGTGGTGCTAGCGGTGCTCGTGAGGTAGTGGTCGTGTTGGAGATGCTCGTGAGGTAGTGGTAATGTTGACGGTGCTGGTGAGGTTGTGACGGTGCTTGTTATTTTATAGGGTTTGTATTGTTGGTTGTGTTTGTAGGTGGTCGGGGTGGTGATGGTCGTTGTAGCGGTTGTGGGTGGGGTGGAAAGAAGAGTGTTTGTGATTAATAAATAATATGTAACCCGAAAAAATGTAAAATTCTGATTAAATTTGTAATTGTGACTCACAATTTGTTAATTTATAATCAATTAATTTAATAATTTGTGATCGAGAAATAACTGTGACTAATTAATTTGATTATTTGTGACCGTGAAATAAGTTTATGACTTATAAAATTTTTGATTTGTGATCAAAAATTAATATTGACCTATTAATTTGATACTTTGTTGATCGATAAATAAATTGTGACATATAAAATTTGTAATTTATCACTAAAAACAATATGTGACCAATAAAGAAATTGTAACATATAAAATTTGTGATCGAGAAATAATGTGTAACCCATTAATTTAATAATTTATTATCTATAAAATTTGTGGTTTGTAACTATGACGTCTATAATTGTTACTAGTATGTAATTGTGACCATAAATTGTATAATATTATGATCTT